GGCTGATGGAGGTCAGACCAAAGACACCTCATCACCCTCCCCGACAAATATGGCCAGTAACATAAAAATTTATGTTGCTCATTCATTTACTGTGTCAAAGCAAGTCCAAATATACACCTCCATGTATGTATCCTGTGTCATTAAATTCTCTAAAATCCCTTCTTTATCCACTTTTTTCCTTGAAACGTATAAATGTAACGGCCTTTAATTGGGGCATTCCTGTGCACTGTATGGGCTTCACAAGTTTCATAAGCAACAAACAACAGCCGACTTGACAAGTCCTGAACACACTTTTTTTGTTTCAAAAAAAATTTCAAAGGTTCCAGTACAGGCATAAAATGTACTGGATTATTTCTCGGTGCAAAAGAAAAGAACCTCCAGAGGACCCGTCCTCACAGCCAACTAAGAACGGTACATGTACATCATCGTGTTGTACAAGATTTGTCTTAGCCGTGGATGAATGACATTTATGGGAGAATGCACATCTGTCTAATGCAAGCTTAGAAATACACTGGTACAGTATGTGCAAATTGGTAAGACAAGGAATGTCCATCTTGTGTTCATGCAAATCTACCCAGTCCAGAGATGGAAAAATATCCCCCAAGACAGACTACAAAGAATGCAGTTGCACTGGACAGTCGTAGAATACCCCGATTGGGGAAAAGTTGGTCATGAAGTTACGACTTAAGCCCATATGGATTGACAGTGCCCCATTTCACTGCCTTAGGACTTTGCACATGTATGCATTTGTGGCTGATACCCTACAGCAATATGTGGTGTGCACGTCCCACCAGAAAAACAACACACTTCTATATATAGCTCGGTGACATTTTCACCAGTACTGCAGGGCTTGATGGAGGGTACATGTACGATGTAAGAACTGAAGGCACTAAGTACTTGCATTGGGGTTACTGGGGCAAATTGTCCTTGTCAAGCATCATCAAGTCACATACTCGGAAAACAACCCAAGTCATCAAGCTCATGCGGTTGAACTGCCATGTTTTAGCACGATTACACGTACACGTACTTGTAAGTTGTCGAGGCATTTAAATGACCCCTTGTTTTTTGGTGTTTTTTGGTAGTGTAGAAAAGACAAGAGTTGTCTATTTTTCACAGTGTGGGCCGGAGATATCCAAACCTAAAAGAATGAAAACAGATGAATATGCATTGCCAAGTGAAACAATGCACTTGGGGTAGTACAGGCTACTATTCCCCCCCCCCCCGGGGAAATTTAAAGAGGCAAATGTGTAAAAATCAAAGCTCAGAATGGTGATTTGGGTGTGGGTTTTACACCATGTATAATGTACAATGAATAGAGAGTTTGTTACATCATCTCTTCTAAACATGTATGTACCAAAAAGAAAGAACAAAAAGATCAGTTTTTCCTCAATTCTGACACAAGTTTTCACGTGCATTTGTGATTTTTGTTGCCCACACCTTTGTTGATATCCACTACCCATAGTTCATCATCGGTAACTGTAGAAGATTTGAGGGAGGGATTCCAACGTTGCATCCTGCCGTTTTTTCGTGGGTGTTTTTCCTTTTCGACAAGTTCCAAGATCTGCAGAATCTGCAGAAACGAGGAGAAATCTGATGTCCGAGACAGGAAAATGCTTTTTGTTTCCCATAACATTTTGGGGGACAATTTATTCGGTGCCTCCTGTGTCAACTCAAAGCTTCTTGGCCATTTGAAGTTTCCCTGGTTATTTGATTTCTGCACATCTAAGCAATCCCCATACATCTCTTTCTAAATCCCATTCATTTCCTCCTCTGCCCAGGGTCAGCCTCATAAAGTCCTTCTTCCGAACGTCTTCGATTCATCATTGGGTAGTCACGGCCTACAATTTCCAACCCCACAAGTTTTAGTTTTTCACTCTATTTGGACTGAGGCGGGTTGTTCTTATCTCAAGTGCAACTGTTGAACTTTCCAGCTCATTTGGCTGTGCACTAGTTCACAACCGCTAAGAATAGCAATCACAAATGAAGAAAGAAAAATGTATTTCTGAAGTTTCCTGTGTGAAGACAACAATACATCCACTCTCAAGTAACTTCAATTTTTTGAACTGCGAAACAAATCCCCTGACTGACCTCCTATCTTCATTCAACAAACCATTAAAATAGACCAGATGGTATTTTCAATCACTCCGGTCACTTTTTCTGCAAGTCATACCAACGAGTCAATCCAGGTCAAGCCAAATGCCGGTCAACACTTGGGCTTGCCAACACCCTCCTCCAACCAAGTCCAAAGGCCTCAGGGTAGTCCAACTTCATGCACGCTTGGCATAACCCACGTAAGGTTAGGGCAAGAAAGCCGACACCGTGACTTGGCAACCTAGCAGTCTCGGCTGGGGGGGGGTTTAACTAGCCAGCTGTTAACCATTCCCCCCCTAGTGAAGTCTCTCAACAAAGCCGACCACTACGCTTCATTTGGTCACCCCCTCTACTGCGCAGCGGACACGGCTTCCTGTTCCAATCTAGCAGCATCCCCCACCACAGTCTAGATCCAACTACGTGCTGTCTAGGCTAATTTCCTGGACAACCGAGGGGAGGGGGAGAGAGAGAGGGAGAGAGAGGGGGGGACAGAAAGAGAGATGAAGCTCCACGTGCTGGGAACCATGCAACAAGTTGAGTGGTGATACACTGTACCTGGCACCATGCGAGCAGTACTGGAGGCTGACAACTTCAAACCCTTCCAGGACCAAAAAAAAAAGACGGTGGCCTTGGCACTGCGACCTCGGTATGATTTACACCAAATGCTGGAGGCAAAAAAGTGGATCACATGGGGGGTTGTCCTCTTTGGCCCCTAGGTAAAACCCGGGTGAATCCACAGTGAAACACAGTAATGCGAAGCGGAGAACAAGCCAATGCACACGCACAGGCCAGATCTGACAGTAATGATAGAGGATAAGGCCAACGCACACAAACACAGTTTGGCTCCATTCATTTCCAAACTAGGTATCTCACCATTGGCTCTGTGGGTCTTGCTGAAAAGGTTCTTCTCAAACGCCTTCTGTTCTTTTTGTGTTGGATAGGTGTCATCATAGTACTGTATCAAAGAAAAAAGTGTAAAAGAATGTGCACAGGGTTAAAACTGAAACACTGCTAGCAACTTTTACGAAGCATGTATCAAAACACAATTAAAAATCTGAGGTAAATCCACACTAGTAATTTCTGAAGAATTATGGCTCGTCCAATCTTCTAATGGGAGTAAAATCAAAGTTTGAACATTTCAATTTGAAACTAAATACAGATACAGTGAACAAAATTGTCCTTGGTCATATCCGTTTGGAAACTCACAGGTACATTTACACCCTTTAGTTCTACCGTCCGGGCTTGACCCTCAGTTCTGTTCTATTTTTCTGCAACACTGCCCCTGTGTGTACATTTCTAGAGGCAGGTTCATACTCAGTACGAGAAAACAAGAATGCAATTTGGTGACATCAGTTCAAATATTTACGTTGCAAATACACAAAAAGTTGAGCACCTTTCAACTCAAACGAGTTTTCCTGCAAATGTTTCATGACAATAATGTCACTTTGCTGTTGCATTTGCGTGAAGTGTGAACCAGCCTCTAGCACGTGTTTTCCTGCAAATGTTTCGTGACAATAATGTCACTTTGATGTTGCATTTGCTTGAAGTGTGAATCAGCCTCTAGCATGTGTTTTCCTGCAAATGTTTCATGACAGTAATGTCACTTTGCTGTTGCATTTGCTTGAAGTGTGAACTGGCCTCTAACACATTTAAAATTTTTCGGCAGAATCAAGTCCTTGGTATAATTTACTTGTACATGTGTCTTCCCTGCTTGAAATCCCAATACATGTACCTTCCCTGTCGTGAATTGAATCTGGGCGGCGCGGATGTAAAGTGCACTATCGGCCTTAAATGTTGCAAATACCCCCACCTGATACGGTTTCCTGTTTAGCTCATTAGATTCAAACCAATCAAATATAGCCAGAAAGTAAAGAAGTTGAGCACGGAATGAGATTTGGGGAAAGAGAGAAATCCAAAATGCAGCGGCGGGGGGATTGCAACAATCTCAGGAACCATTTTCTTATAGTTTTTAAAAGCTAACAAGCTATGAGTTCTCCCCATACAGGCTCCAATTATGAGAAAACTGCATGCTTTATTTGTCTTTTAACGAGGATGTACATGATACACACAAGTAGCAATATGTCATTGACTAAAACTCTAAAACATCTAGATTGTTTGGATCAATAATCCTGACATATTGTGAGAAAACACATCCCTGGTTGTGTGGTTCCAAAGTTTTGCTGTGGCACATGTACATGTAGGAAGGAGGTAACAGGGTTCCAGATCTGCACAACCAAGCCATGAAGTTTTCCTTGTGATCTCTCAGAAAGGATCAGTGAGCAATTGATGCTCATAGATTGAATGGATTCGTGATCACTGCATGTACAATCAGGAAGACCCCCTCCCCCAATTATGGAGAAAGCATGGTGCGACCCGTTTCACGTTAATGGGTGTTCTTATGAAGTGGCATACTTCCATTACCATTATTGGGAGGCTTCTGTGACCAAATGTGGCAAGCTCCATTGCACAGGTAAATGGATCAATTGACGCTCCACACATAATTTGCACAGCGACACTTTTCCGGACACCGTAGCATGGCTCTCCACACCAAATGCGTGACAGGATTTATTCAGTAAGACTTTGCTTAGGATATTCAGGTGATGCAGGGACTTTTTCAGAATTTATTCAGCCGCTGTAGAAACTAAGTAATGAAAGGTTCATGTTTGTGCAATGGAGAATGTAATTCATTCGGAGACATGTGACTCTGCCCCATGTCACATCAAAAAATATGTGCCCCCTACATCTGGACAGACGGTGGCACACATGCATGTCTAACTCTTGTTCTTCAAATCTTCAATGGCAACTGAATGTCTGATGTATGGTAAAAAAGATATAACATGGTGGATCTCAGGTGTACCTCTTCTTAGTTTTGGAAGTTGACAAACCAGTTCCTTCCACTTCCCCTCATGAACTGAGTACATTGTCAACGTTCTCGACCTCACGGGCTAAATCAACTGTACACCCTCAAACCACGTTGTATTTGTGTACCGACTCTCCTAAAGCACCTGCTATTCCGAGATACATACACGCTAGACATTTCTAGCACAGACACTACATCCGGGTTAACATCAAATGTGGAACACATTAAAACATATACTCTTTCACTTGTTACTGGGTCATGGGGACGACATACGTTGAAACAAAGATGTTGTGGGGACCAAAAACATTTTGGGGACAAACTGCTGTTCCCACAACTCGGTCCCGACCCTCCTGACAAAAGAAACTGTCCCCTTCGCATGATGAAAGTCTGCCCAGAGACACAGATGGGTTTTTTAAGTCCTAAAATTTCTAACGACCCATGTCAAATTACACGAACATGTCTCCTTTTTCTCAGTACTTGACAAGGATTTTCCACATATCAGCTTCCACGTCAATAAACAGTTTCAAGTATCTTATGTTATTCCATACAATATCCCTAACACCAAGCACCGAGTGCCCCACGTAGCACAAAGTCCCAGAAGTCTCAACAGTGCCGGTCTCTCGACAGGAAGAGCTACTTTGTCTGTAATTGATTCCAGATTGGCCAGTAGGCATCTATTGTCTTAAGCACGCATGAATCATCCGTTTCATTGTCACAAGCACTGTGCGCCAGCTCCAACGTCAATTGAACGCATATGGCTTTCATCAAAGCTTTTATAAATTCATTTGCTACAGAGAGGGACAGAACAGGTGTGATAAGGAGTTTAACTTGAAGACCATTACCTCAGCAGGACAGACTGGTAAATCAACATGTCCATGGCAAATAACAGAAATATTCTGTCTTATTTCTCTTCTGAACCTTAAACATCCTAATCCCTACACATACGTGTACCGGCATGCCAGTCTGTGCTTGTGTCCAATCCAAGCACTTCAGGTAAATCTCTTACATGGCTATGTGCACTTCATCGAGGCATATAACTGGAAAAATAAAATCTATACCCACAAAAATTCCTGATGCTACTCTACATGTGTTCTTATCAGAACCTAATTTGAAGTCTCCAAAAGGTTTTGGATTTCTGTCCTTTTGGAATCTATTCACTTAAGGTTCTGCCCAGGGCAAATGAGTGACTCTTCCTCAAACACACATGCTGTCGAAACTTGAGTTACATGAGTGATGTCACTCAATGTAAATGGACAGGAGGTGGGAGAGGAAGGGAGGCGGGCCTCTTCCCCATTCCCGCCCCCCCCCAACGTTTGCACGATCACACTTTCAGCTGCCGAGTGGACATGTGTTGGAAAGCTTTCGGCTTCGTGCTCTTTCACAAAAGGATGTTCACTAGTCTACCGGAGGATGTACTGAATGCTGACATCCCCACCCACTGTTGGGTGACACTCCCCCTCCCTGCTTTGGCTTAACGAAGAAAGGATGAAAACAATGGGGCATACACCTCAGACTTAAAGGTATTTTGTACTTAAGTGGGCCGAACTTTCTCCCCCCCAACACCCCACAGAGGGGTTGACGCTAGCCCATTCCATATACATGCATTATGATGTGTAAATTGTCTGCCGTTACTTGAGAAGCGGCAGGGGAGAGCACAAGTTGCACGACTGAAGTCCACGACTCAATTCAGATCCATCTTGAGCCACAGTGTCAGTGACTTGGGACCAATAAACGGCAGTAATTGGTGGTTAATATGATTCCTGCGCTGGCCCAGCTGTAAAAATTTGGGATGCATCATTCACACATGCACTTGTCTCTCCATGAGATGCAAACACCAACTGCTGACTAATGCTTGAAACAGGTGTCTCCTGACTGGGGTTGAACCAGGAGTGACTTAAGACACAGTCTAGCACCAAGTGACTTGGAATTTGGACTCAACCCTTGAAGATATCAACCTAGACTTGGCCCAAGACACTCTTACTCCAATTCTTGCCTTGCACTTCCAAATTCGCAGGTACACAAAGAATCTAAAAAGACACATACAGCGCGCGAGGTAATCTGCCTGGCAAAAAGGGGTTTTCAGGCCTCGGGCTATTGAACAAACTCTGTCAACTTCACACTTGAGGTTGACAAACTGCACACAACTGGGGCGTGGAATGCTTCAATAAATGTAGGGCTGCTTCGCAAAATTATGCATGTACCAGGAAGAGATCAACTTCAGGAATCCTTCATAAATGACTGAGCGCTTATGGAAATGAGCAGCCCATGATTCACTCAAAATGCTAGTAATATGATAACCCTGATGAAAACGGATTGATCAACCAGTTTCAACACCAGCTGCTTCAAATCAAACTTCCAAAGCCAGTGCAAGAGTACAAAAAGGCAAGGACTGAGGAAGCGGATAATTTTCTGGCCAGGCAACACAGCTTCTATCAAGATGGCTGCATCTCGGCTCAGGACCCTAGACTGCATTTATTAAATCAAGAAATTAGGGTGACTAATGGCCCCTTTTTCCCTCCTCCACAATATCGATCCTTTCTCCAGCATTTTCCAGACAATTTGAAATTGCCAGCACCGTGAACGCGTCCACATACTTAAGCCATACTGCACAAATCAGAAACAAACTTTCACTCAATTATTTGCCTGATTGGAATGCCCAAGGGCAGTCGAGAGGAGGGCTTCCCCCCATCTGTGTGGAAACGATTAGGGTTTCGTGACTCATGATCGGAGGAGTAGAGGTTCAAATCCAGCCGTTGCCCATATGCTGTGTCGTCCTTGTATCAGTCCCAGTTGTTTCTCTCTGCCCGGAAGAATACTGTACATGGGTGTCAACATTAGCTGATGAGTAGCCTGGAGTGGACCAGCATCCCATCTCCAGGGAACAGTAACAATCCCCAGGGATTCCAGGGAATATTCTCAGTCGATCATTGCTACTGAAACGGGAAGATAACACCAGCCTGGTGACCGACATACGGTGACAGACTTTACCCTACTTTCCCCAATGTGCCCCCTCCCCCCCAAAACAAGTCAATGCTAATGCAAGGGACTGTCACACTGGGGCAAAGAAACACTGTGTCACAGCCTTCCACCCTGTCTCAGTTCCAGTTAAGTCACTGATAACCTGATTTCAGAAACTCAGATATCTCGAAGTAAAAAAAAAAGGGGGGACTTTTTTGAGAGAATTTGATTAGACTAGTTCCCTTCACTGCATGTGTAACTCATGTGCCTCTACCCAAGTCACCCTAGGGAAGTCACCTCAACACACCGTAACATGTGTTACCACATTTACCACCGCTGGAGCCAACTTTCAACAGTTTAAGGATACAGCCAAGAAAAGTCTATCCCGTATATTTTCTAAGCTTATCCATATCCACGTGAGTGTCCTTGGGCGAGTTTATCCGTGTACTTAATATGGACAAGAAGTTGTATTGCCGTGCCCTAACTTTCCGACAGCCTCTGCGAGTCCATGATTTCCATGAAATGCAAGTGAACTGATCTGGTGCTGCATTGGGGCTTTTTCCCAGAAATCCTTTAAGCCAGTGCTGTTTAATATCTTCCACTACGTCACGTGACAGGGTTCACAAATCATTACCGGGAATGGCAAGAAATGGGAAAAAAACCACAACCTTCACTCAGCTGCCATAAAGTTACCTGGATGCTGTACTCACAAACAACCCTACCGATTCTCAAAGTCATCTAAATGTGAAAAGTAATACCTACAGTAGTTGACCAAAGAAAGTAATTTCTTCTTTAGGCAAGCTGACCTACATGTACAAGTGCATAAAGTCTTGAACACAGAGCATGATGAGCAGCTGACCATTAGGGCCTGTACAGACATGTTCTTTTGGTTTGATGTCCAGGCAAACAGTGACCGGCGGCACAGGACAGATACTTGAGTACACCTAGCATGCCTGGGTAGCCTAGTTACCTGTGGCCGGGTGACCCACTGGTTGGAGGAGCAGCTACCGTAGTACTAAATCCTTTGAGATACGCCAAAAATCAGCAAAGTGCCTGCGTGAGCATTTGGTGATGGAACTGGGCCAGACTAACCTTGGTGAGAACATATTTAGGCAACTGATGCCATGTCTTCCCCAAAGAAAATAGAAAAGTAAAGCCCAAAATTTCCTCAATGGTGATGAGTAATCAATCATAAAAGCTTCATAGTGCCCGCACCATGCAGAATGCACATCTAGTTGGTGAATGGTTTCACATGAGGGCTATGCAAGTTACACGTATGGTAACATGTACATGTATTTGTGGCAAGTCCATCCATGCAGTATACGTGTAAAGTGAATACCTATCGCTGAAGACAACACTGTGTCACTCACTGACGATGGGAGTCCCAAATCGTTAGCACTTACACCTGCCCAGCATACCGTGAGGAAAATGTCACTGAGCAACAATGGATTACCAGCCTGCGTATGATTTATGTGCTTGTCCTGGGCGTGATTGGTTCCCGTAAAGAGATATGCTGAGCAGTATTATCTACCAAGAGGCGTCATAAAACCCATTTGATTTGGGCAATCGATGCACTCAGAACTTACTGGAACAAATGACAGCAAAGATGACATGCCCTCCTATGGTACGGCATCTTTCAAAATCAGGGGTGTGAGTGGCTACTAAAAATGAAAGCTGAAAACAGCTAGCCAAATGCTAAAATGTAAGAAGTCCCCACACATTTGTACATAGCAGGTGCACAAAAAAAGCTGAAATTCAGGGTCAATATCTAAAAAAAAAAAAAAAATTAGCCAAAAAGCTGAACTTTCACACCTCTGCAAAATGCCATTTGCACAAGTTGTGACTAAACCCAATGGAAAAACCACCCTACGAAATCTGGGCTTGCCAAGAATCCCTCCCCCCGTCCGCCTTTTGCAACTGGACCATATTTGTTAGCTACATAAACGTATACACGTATTAGTACACCACAGGTCTAAATATGATCATAGGCTCGTGGTTTCTTCCAAGTCTGCACATTACTTTTCTTGTGAAAACTGTAACTATTTATACGGTGACCTTCAAAATGACTCACAAGCTTGCTCTGCATTTTCCATCAAAAAATTCAAGGAGAAAGGGATTTCTTTTTAGCCTGCTGAGTAAACTTAGCCCCACACTGGATGCAACAACCATTTTATCTACTCCCCCTTCCGCCGTCCCCATCAGAGAGGAAGACGTGCAAATATTGGACCGACATCATGCCGGGCTCAGCAGCAGTGAAATCACGCTGGCCTGGGCAAACAAGTTAATGCTACATTGATGAATGGCAAACTTAGCCCGTGGTTGCATGCAGGATATGGGGTAACAACAGGGGCGCTGTCTTATTGCAGCCATCTCTTCATTTCCAGTCGTGTGACTGCTTCATCAAGGTTACTTCAGTCACCTTGCCAGCATTAAGTTGTTATGGCCCAAGTCAGAAAATAAATTTGCTTTTTTCCCCCTTTGATGTCTTGATTTAACCCTCATAATCAAGTCTTACAAGCACGCCCTCTAACAAGACGTTTTTGAGACATGGAGAGCGCGGTTTTGCAGAGCAAAACTAAATTTGCTCTATAATTGGCTCTGTAATAATGGGCAACGCCAGCAGTGTGTTTTCACATTTAAGCTGCAGGTTGCATGCAAGTGCTTTAGGACGGATGAATCTGAATATGACATCAAAGACAGTAGAGGAGCCAAGTCAGGTTAGCAGTTTGTCTCCACTGGTGACAAATTTCTGCCGGTGTCGACACCTAAAATGATTTCCGAAACATTCTAAATACTGTCATTCACTTTTGGCAGTCAAAACTTCACAGACCAGTTCGACACTAAAAAGGAGACTGATATTTAAAACAGAAATCACTGTATGGTTTTCAATCCAGCTTTATCCTCCATGCTGATACATTTGAAGACCAGGCTACACATGTACATGTACATAGATTTCCCTCGTCACTGCAAAATGTAAAACCATCGGGGGAAAACTGTTAATGTGACTGCATTCCACTGCAACAAACTCTTCCCCCTCCGATCCCCCCCCGACTTGGGTCATAAACAATGCATTTTGGAACATGTTAGATTGAGAACTCTGACCTCTTTGATTTTCTGGTACGATTTTCTGGTGCATTTCTCTCAAATACAAACACACAGTAAAATCAGTACAAGGCTAAGCAACCTATGAGAATTTCATTATTTTAAGATTCTGTTTGATCAGTTAACAAAAGCAAAGGGCAGATATAGAGAAAAAAATTTTGGCGGGAGGCCCAAAACTGTTGACAAATTTCTTCACCTAACCTTTTATAGCCTCACGAAAGGGTAAGACTCAATTTGGAAACTTTTTACACTCTTTTGAAAGGAAGTAGTCTCATTACATTCAAAAAGCCAAAAAAAATTTACAGGAAGGAATTCATGTGCTGTTTCACCCATGGATCCACCAATGGGCAAGCAGTTCAACTGTATTTATCATTGTTTCAAATCTGTACAGTGGAGTGTGGAAAACTGAAGATGAAATGCCGACAACCAGTAAGTACATGTACATATTGGACGTAAATTGTTCAGTAATATTTCAAAAACAAAAGAACACACATGGCGGATAAGCTTGGAAGGCCACCATATTACCTTTGAGATAATCCTCTCTCCATCATTATCAAGGATGGCAATAGCTTTGACGGTATACAAACTCGCTGGCTGTAACAAATGAAAACATCATTATAAATTATAAAAAAGGTGATAATATTATACACAGAGTTAAAATTAATAACAGCTAAACTTGGGTTTCACATTTTCATTTGAGAAAACAAATGTAAAAACAAAACTCATAACATTTATGGTCCAAAATTAGATGTGGGCGACTAGTGAATTTCAGTAGTCATGGCAACTACATGTATCAATAAATGGTCCCGATTTGTCAACCAGTCACGACTATTTTTTGTATTAGTTTTGTGTATTCCAGTCAAACCATGTACATGTACATGTATGGTTAGTACATGCACTATCCATAATTAGTGATATGCAGCAAGGCACCCTCTGTTGCCTGTGGTGTGATAATGCACAATGCTGCCAACGGTTTGCAGCATTCCCATACCCAAATGGTACAGTCCAAACTCGGTGGAAAAGTCAAGATGACAGCCAACGGCTGTGCAACCACTGATCATCTTTACAATGGAGATCAATGTGTGCAACCTCGACTCCATGGGTCTGCATGTGCGCGTTCCATCGCAAGGCATGGTGGGAACCAACATGGCATGGCAAGATCGTACGCTTGGGAATGAGGTTGACAGCCATGCTGCTTAAAAGTTAGAGGTATTTTTGTGTTCTGCCGATAAAAAAGTCAACACAAAAAAGGAGAGTTTTGCTGAAGCTTACTTTGTACATGAAAATGTTACCATCAAAGATCTCCATGGGTAATAGCTTTGCTATTGACTCCAACAGTAACGGCTACAGTGGCCATGTCATGCGCATTGACAACTGCACGATGCAAAAAGTATTAGACTGGTTACCCTGTCCAGCAAGTCCAGCCAATGAAAAAATGTCAATGTGAAAAAAAAAAAGTTATGTCAAAACTTACTTTATGCATGAAAATACTGCCACTAAGTATCTCCTGATCTACTGTGGCAAATTTATTGATTACCGGGGCAGTTTTCCAAAACCACCATCTGAAATAGTATTGCAGATTCCAACGGCAACTAGCATAGTGGTAGGCTTGGACAGTATTGCATTTTTAATAACGCGATATGCACGATAACTGATGAAATACTGCAATGTTCACTAATGTTGTGATATTCTTTGAAGTGGAGTATTCAGTGGCATCGTCAAATAGCATTAAAGACAAGCAGTGACATTCACTGGGAATGCCAGCAACTACCTCTGACTTCCAGTCAGACTCTAAAAGCTTCATGTACACCAAAACCACAAACACAATGAAAGGGGGATCATAAAATTTCAAAGGGTTTTGGCTGGTGGGTTGGCAGTTGTTTAAGTTTCATGTTGTAAACCAAGTCCAAGTGACAATGCAGTACCGGTTGACACTGGATGACTTGTACCACAAAAGATGGAGTGAATATGAAGACATGGTGGTTTTCCTTTATTTTCAAAGCACAGCAAGAATACATGGTATCAAAATTCCACAGGTATTTGCCGTTATTTCAGTATTTATGGACCATCAGTCGGTACTTTTCGGTACTGAAAAAATACTGCCACTATTCTGACTATTAAATAATCCAAGCCTACACGGCAGCCATGTGGGCATAGTGGCTTGCCGGCATGGCATGCATGGTGGCAACCATTGGCAACTCTCAAATCTCTTTATTTTCTCCAAATCTCGCAAGAAAAAATGACATCATTATCACGTGATCAGATAAAAATGACGTCATCACTGGTTGAACAAGCGACATACGGCCTAAGCAGAAACTAGCAACATTCCTAGATTGTGGTTCAGTCCCCGACCTGTAGGCCTAGGCCTATAGTTCTGTCTCGTTTTATGATTAATAATGTATGTCAACAGTGCTGACTGTGTGTTGATGGTGTGTTGACAGTGATATAGACCCTTTCTCACATCACCTGTGATACAAACTGACCATGGTCCATAATGTCCATGGCCTACTTCCTGAACATTAAGGCACTACCCTGTAGGCCTTACTGCACTCTACCTTTTTTATGGTTCTGCACACAGTGGCATTTTGAAAGCTGCCCAGCAATCGTACCAGATAAAACATCCATTTGTGCTTTCTCAAGCAAATCTTCCCCTGAAGACCCTATAATAAAAGCCAACCAATATAGACCTACCAGGCATGAGTGTATTTTGTAGCATTTAACCTATATTATTGGCAAAAAATGAGGGTTTTTCTACCATCCTCACCTCTCATCGCTTGATGATCCACACATAATTATCTGCATTCTCTGTGGCCGCATGTCACGTGACAAAAACAAGGACAGCATATTCGTATAATGAACATTTATATTGCTTTGGATACCAGTCCCCATAATTCCAACTACTCCAACTAAGATTGTGTACAGAGACATGTGGGAAATCTGTGGTCAGGGAACCACACTAACCACATGTATCAGCTTGACCATTTTGGAAGCGGGGGGGGGTGATGCACGCTGCATTGTCAAGCTACATGTAGCTATTTACGCATGTTTAAAATGTTTGAAAAATATGTACTTCAGGGAGTGATAATATTTTACAAAGATACGGTTGTAAAGTGGTAAGACTAACAAAGTTTCTATTTTCCATGCAATTCAGGGATTTATTTTTTGCAAAATGGTCAAACCAATTTGCGATTAGCGTGCTTCCCTGACGACAGATTTCCCAGATGTCTTTAAATTTAGCGGGAGTAGTCAGAATTATGGGGACTGGTATCCAAAGCAACAAAAAAGTTTGTTACGCGAATACACTGCACCTGTTTTTGTCACGTCATGTACGGCCGCAGAGAATGTGTGCAGATCGTCATGGGATGAGAGGTGACAAAGGTAAATAAAATTAAAACTCATTTTTGCCAATAAGGCCTAGGCCTATTTTAGGTATAACGCTACAAAATACAAATACTCCGGGTAGTTCTGTATCAGCCTAGGTTATCTTCATGGGGTTTTTACTATTTTAGGGGAAGATTAGCTCTAGAAGAAGAAAGTGCAAACCGACATAAATTCTGGTTACCTTAAAAATGCCACTGCGTAGGTAACCATAAAAAAGATGGATGCAGTAAAGTCTATGGAGTAGTTCCTTACTGTTCAGGAAGTTGCCATGATCATGGCACAACCGGTCGACCATGACAACTGCACTAGTGTTATGTGAACGGCCGGCCACGACTGCGCATGAATTGAAACTCTAAAGACTTAAGGGGGAATGTCTACTAGTCACTTAACTGCGGTTGCCAACATTGTCTAATTTGAATTATCACTTTTACTGAACTCTGAAACATGAGCAATCGGCAGCAGCAGAAAGACAGCACTGATTGAATGATTTCATGCTATACAGCTCAAAAATCTCACCAGCACGGAAGCGTCCATCTTGAATTGTTACTGGTATCATGTACATGTATGTTACGCAGGTGTTGCGTTCAACGTTTACCAACGAAAACTTTTGCCAACGTGGAAAACCGGAATTTGCGAGAATATCCGAGAGGACGACTTGGCACTATATCAGTGATCACTTCGAGGGCGCTCTTTATTTTGCCAAGCTGGCTTGCAATTTTTTTTATGGGCCTCTTGTAAAAACGGCGTGCTTTCAATGCTAGCACTTCCCCCCCCCCAGGCAGTGCTAGCAACTTCCATGAAACGTGATAATTGCCACCATCTAGTGCACATTTGTTGCCTGTGGTGTGAACTTTAAACTGCCCCGTGGTTCCTTGGCAGGAACATAAGGCAATTTGTCACTGCCATTACCTTTTGTTGTCACTGAACGACGTGGTCATAAGGTTATCTCGTTACCCTGTCTGTAACGTGACCATGGTGCAATAAAAAAAAGCCACTGCCTCATCCCCATAATCGCCCTGAAAAACTGCACCGTTTGTAAACCTCAACGAAAAGCAGAAAAACAACCCGAAAGATAATTAGGCGAAGTTCCTCTGAAGAAGAATGAAATAGCTTGTAAAACACTTGTTACGGAGTTAACCTGTTATTTACCCCACGGCTGACGCAAAAAATGTCACCACCCGCCCCGTCGTGTAATACCTTGGATTAACTGAAACTAGTACCTGTATGTTTATAAACAATGTACGTAGCATATCGCAGAAGAAGACTTCATTAATATGAAATCATTACTTTTTGTTACTGAGAGGCCGCTGCTTGGGACATGCATATACATAGTAAACCCAGCTCACATCCCACGTAGTTCACCACGGGGTGGTGTTATTGTGTGGTTTTCAGTCTGTAAGGGTATTTCCCCCAATGGTGAAAAAACAGCGAGGAAATGCAAAGTAAACAAACGTGCGAAATAACAACGAGTATACTTGCGATTTCAAAAAGAGTTAGGCGAGTAAAAGGTCATGTTTTGATAAATAGAAATGACATAAGCAAAAGCGACGAACAGTACCTTTAATTGCCCCGGTACAACCCCTTACAAAAATCACCGTGTACGCGCAAGTAGTTTTCCCTTTTTTTCCAGGTCACGAGTTAATAATTACAAATGACCCCCAAAGACAGCGCTGTTCATTCATTCGAATTTGTATTCAAACTTTCTTAGTTTTTTTATTTGCCGTTGTTTTCGCAGGTTAATTTTTGTTTTTGTTCCTTTTTCACAGTGTTGCCTTTTTCCGGCGAAAAGTTGACTAATGAAAACCTCAAAACAGCAAGTTTCATCTTGTTTTGTTGTTTTTGTGTGTGTGTGTGTGAGTGAATGTTTTGGTTTTTTTTAAGTAATGCACAACATTCAGACAGGTTCCCCTACTGAGATCCAAGCGTTTCTGTACAGCTGTCGGGGGGAACCTTCCCATCGGTTCTAGACCTAGAACCAGTTCTGATGACCTCACAGAGCCGATTATCTTCCCTTTTGTTTCGGTGATTAAGCAGAAGACAGGATGTGCATCATTGCATTATGACAATGGCGAGGAAGTGGGCATGCGGGCTACTCAGAGGGGAAACAGGTTACTTTGCACTGGCCCTTATACGGCGTTCAGTCATTAATGCTGTGTTCACGTGTAATCTGAATGACCATTGGTGAGAAAATCAAACTTCTCAGTAAGTGTAAAGTCTTAACTCCAAATTTGGAGGGACAGAAACTGCGATATCGGATAAATGTTTGTCCTGTTCATTCTTCGTCATTCGTTTACCTCATCTTACTTCCATCTCTCGCCCCCACGCCTACCCCTACCCGGCTGTTTGTTGCTCTGCTCAATTGTACACTTCAAATCAAGTGACTTGCTTTTTAGCACCGCAAGCTTATTCATTTTATTTTTGAATGGGATGTTTAGTAACAGCAGAAATATTACCGCCTAGATCAACCAGCTTCTACCCGAGGACAAATATTTCTTGTTTCAACAAATATACCACTTTCTATAACATTAATTTGCACTCAATCATTTAGTGGGCCTTTTATTGCAGGTCAAGTTCACATTACGTCCATGGAAGAGGAACAATAACGGTGGTGAGATTTTTCATTGAATAAATTCCTCTATAACGGGGATACTGACTCGATTTCCTGGTCGTATTCTAGGAAGTCAAGGAATAACAAATACACCAACCTTGGGGGAAAGATAGGGGATAAAACATGTCAGTAAAATTCTGATAAAAAGCTTGTTCGAAGTAATATTCGAAGAAATTTAAATCTTTAAAGTTAACTCTATTTTAAAAAACAAAGATTGGACACAATGAGACCCTGGAACTTTGAGGGGGTCCGATTAACGCAGTGGTCGCCTCCTACGCGTGTCCCACGTTCGAATCTCGCCAAGGTTTGGCAAGTGGGTAAGGTTGTCAGTCCCAACCGAGGGGCGTATCCAGGACTTTTTCCAGGGGGTTCAGGGGGATTTTTTTTAAATGTCATTTTGGGGGACAAGCGTAAATGATGATGAACAAAGTCATGACGTACATGTACATTGTTTACAACGTTATTGGTGTACTTACTTCAGTTATTTTTTATTATTTCCCCCATTTTTGCGGGGGTTTTTTGGTCTCAGTGCAGGGAGGGTTCGACCCCACACACCTGGATTCGCGCCAACAACCTGTGTTTCCCCTGAAATTCAAATCTTCATTCCGGGGTTTTCCCACCTCTAAAACTTTAGACTTTCGTTTTCATTTATCTCAAGTGTTATATCCGTATTGAACATTCATTCATTAAATTATTTAGAGAGTCGATAAACGAAGGACGTTTGACAAAACACGAGGTATATTTAAAAGACAAAGTCTTTTATGGAAATCGTTATTAAATCAAAAACTTGACAAGCACAACTAACGACAGGTCATATATGAAAGACTAGAAGGGAGCAATACAGACATGACTTCTTCATCTTCTTCATTTTGTTTCCTCGAACCGGCAGGCCATCATTTTTTAAAACTTTACTATTAGGCCTACCAAAAAGAAAAAATACAGAAAACAACCTTAGTTGCATCGGTGTACCTTATTACAGTGTTGTTTTTAAATTCGAAGTATAAATCTAACATTTTGTGAGAATAATTGTGTTGGGTGTGTAATAGGTCAAGAAACTGCAAAAACAACACCTCCTTCTTCGGCGTTTTCCAATGTCATGTTTCTGTCTCTACAGTAAAAGCCAGTGCTTGGAGCATCATCTGGCGATGGCGGTGTTTTCGGCTCTGATGGTGCGGGCTTTGCTTACCGCAGACACAGGGGCGCGTGCCGGCCCCAAACCAATCTGTCCTCATTTTTCTCAATGAAAAGGGGATGTGCACTGACATCAAACATGTCATGTGAGGAAATTGATACTACGTGATTTTTATTGTAAGAAGGAGAAAAAAATGAAGAGGGCGGGGTTGAAAAGTGTCTAGAATATGGATTTGCTAATGTGACAAAGATACCATATCTAACAATACAAAAAGTGTGATGTAAATCTAATCGGTATCCACACAGGACAACACCATCCGGGTATTGTTTCATGAAGATACCGGGGGCATTAATTTACTATTATTTGAACACCATAGTCTTTGCAGTGAACCACGGTATCAACTCGAGGTAGTCCGTCAAAGGTTACGCTCAGGTGCTTTACAGCCATTGATATTATGCCAAAGCAATGACTCTGGCATACTCCATAAACAAGAGGTTTCCAGAGCACGGGAAACTGACTGAAGCCACCCTTACCTTTTTGGTTCAAATTGCACACAGCAACAGATGTAAAGCATCCACTAGTGTCAAACAATTTGTTTGACAGCTAAACCCAATTGTTTCTTTGAGTTTGGAAGTGTAGATGTGCCCTACCTCATTTGTGAACAACAGAGAAATTACAGATGGAATCATTCCTTTACTTTCCATTTATGGATTTTTGCCACTGTTTCGCTGAGTAGGTACGCCTTTCTTACAATCATTCTTAGGTTAAAATAAATCGTTCATTTGCCGAGAACAAAGATCATACATGGTCTCCACCGACCTTTCGGTCACCTGCCCGATTCTTGACCAGATGACATTTTAATGATAATTTTCCTTGATGCCGACATTTGTTGATATACGACAGGCTCACCTCTCGTGCTAAGATGGATGTGACCCGGTAATTACTCTGTGAATGCTGGACTCCCCCCCTACCCGTCGATTTTCTCACTAGAGCTTTGTGTAACCGCACAATTTCGGCCGCATCAAAAATACGTCAAAAATCAAGCATCCTCCAATATTTCAATTAGGAGAACGTGGTAAAAACACGCAGTAAATAGGAAATTGATGCCTCATAACTCGAGGTGTTCTAAATTATAGAAGTATGGGTGATCGATCAAGTGGAGGTGCTGGGGAGTGTCATAGGTCCGCCCTCCAACTAAAACCTAAAGAAATACCTCGTGAATCTTCACCCCCTCCTGAGGGGGATCTTACTTTCCTTTTATTTTTCCCGTTGCCCGGTTTTGCTTGAACCATCTTCTCTGTTGTATCGCATTCTTCGCTCCAAACATGCAGAAAGCATACTGATTCCAAGTAAGTAAATAAGTCCACCAAAAAATTCATCCTGCTCTGCGGATCAGATAAATATCTCGCAAAAAAAGGCGTCCCTGGGTGGGCTCGAACCACCAACCTTTCGGTTAACAGCCGAACGCGCTAACCGATTGCGCCACAGAGACCTACGTTAGGACGCCAGTAATGAATTTGCCTTCTACATATTCTCAGCATTAACTTCATCTAGCTCTACAGTAATCGCAGGCCCACTGTGAGAGAATTCCATGTTGTTGATTTGATTCAAACCATTCACGTTTCTGCCAACGAGCAATTACTTGTGACAACGCGATGGTTCTACACACCAGCCGAAATTTATTTCAGTTTATGAAAGAGCAATTGAAAACTTGTAAGCTGATCGCTAAAAAACACTCAGTTCTGTTGTTGCGAAATTTTTGCTGTTTTTGATCCACAGCCCGTGTGTGTGTGTCTGTCTAGCTTGTACTGAGCAAGATGTTACACACATGCCCCGGAATTACTAGCAGTCTGGACTTGTTCT